CGTAAAAACGAGATAGGGTAGGTCATTCACCCCGAACGAGATTCTGCCCTTCGGCGGAACCTCGTCCGGATTCCTTTCTGCACAAAAGCAGAGAGTTCGACCGTCAAGTCGAGAAGCTCGGCTTGATTCAGTATCTAGCCACCCCCCCCACGAGGGTTGCATGCGACACAAGGTCATTTTTATCGTGGGTTTCCTGAGCCCGTAGGCTCAGCCAAAAATATGCCCGTATGACTCGTAAAAAAACGAGATCAGGGTAGGTCATTCACCCCGAACGAGATTCTGCCCTTCGGCGGAACCTCGTCCGGGTTCCTTTCTGCTCAAGAGCAGAGAGTTCGACCATCAAGTCGAAAAGATCGGCTTGATTCAGTATCTAGCCACCCCCCCCCGAGGGTTGCATGCGACACAAGGTCATTTTTATCGTGGGTTTCCTGAGCCCGTAGGCTCAGCCAAAAATATGCCCGTATGACTCGTAAAAAAAAGATCAGGGTAGGTCATTCACCCCGAACGAGATTCTGCCCTTCGGCGGAACCTCGTCCGGTTCCTTTCTGCTCAAGAGCAGAGTTCGACCATCAAGTCGAAAAGATCGGCTTGATTCGACCCTCTCTCTTGAGAGGCGTAATATACATAGTGTTAGGAAGAGTTCATTCTGTAGTTATAGGTAAGACCCCATGACACATACCCATTCTCATGTGGTTCATTTCAGGCAGATTCATCATGGATAGGTTCTAAAGACCCTCAGCTTTCATCCAGATTTTCACTATTCATTAACATTCACCAGAGGAATTCATGTTATCATGATACCACATTTCAAACTGGTTTGATGCCATTCTTAAGATTATGAAGATACTGAAAATTAAAATTTTTTTTTTGTTATTTTGAAACCTTTCATTGAAAGCATCTTTCATTTGTTACATTTGGAATATTTTTTCTCCAACGCAGCCATTATAATATTCTAAAATTTAATCAACTAATCAGATTCTACTATCACTTGATGCAAAATTCCTAACTGATAATTTACAAAATGCGTATAAACTTTTTTTTACAGTTAAAATCCTTGATTTCAGCTAGTTGCCACTGTATGAAGACACATAAAAAGCACGCCATCATTTAAAGTGTATCACAAGCCTCACCAAAATATTCTTCTCTTGCTGATCGATTTTTTTTACTCCAGTGGCAATGGAGACTTCGAGGGTTATTGGCCCTTCGGATGGTTATCGGGATGGCGTCTCGATTAAGGGATGACACTTGCGAAACGGAGTGGCTCTTGCAGCGTGTCTCACTGGCGATGGTTCGAGGTAATGCTTTCTCTATCATTGCGGCTGACAGAGGACAGAAAAAAAATTATACATACTTTGTTTAAATAAACACAAAAGACTAAAAGAGCTGCATTTCTGACCAACATGGCGGCAATATTTTGTTCATTTTTCAGCCCTTGTAATACACCACTTGGTGAAAATTAAGTAAAACTATATTTTTCCGAAAGACAATGTGAATAAGAGTGCAGAAAAGTTGGAATAAAATGTTTTAAATCATTGAAAGACGTCATATGCATGTGGTGAAAATGAATGAAAATGAAATTTTGCCATTTTTAAGAAAGATCAGAGCCAAAAATTACTTGACAAGGAAAGACATTATTTAATCAATTACTAAGTCTGCAGCTAAGAAAGTTGATTCACTATATCGTGTTTGACACTTTTTTGCGGCAGAATTTATTTTATATATTTTATAAGTTTACCATTCGCCCTTGCTTTGAATATTGCTGCTACATCTGGTCTGGTGATCCTGCTATATATTTTGAGATCCTTGATAAGATCCAAGAAGATTCTGCAATATTATTGTTCTTGACCTGGTATCTCGGTTTCAGTCCCTTTCCCACCGCCGTAACATTTTCTGTTCGGTTGAACGTCAAAAAACGACATTATTTTTGCACCAAGCTAATATAAGAGATTATCATAAAAACATTCAAAAATGTTTCCGCTGTAATTTCTTTATTCCATAGTCCTATCAACTTTGACTTTTACAACTGGGACACACCATGCTAGACACACAAGTGTCCGTCATTCCTATTCTCTTTGTATTCCAATAGTAAGGAGGAATTTCCATTCTAACAGCTTCTTCCTGAGAACAGCTACTTTGTGGAACAGACTCCCGGTGCGATTTTTCTATAAAAACTACAATCTTAATTTCATTCTAAGGTTAACCGCTATCTTTCCTGCATAGCCACATAAACTTATATAACACTCTTTCTTGAGTAGCTCTTGGGCCTTGTTCTTGGTGATTTATAGCTTAATGAGGGCTAAGGGATTCAACATTCCCTTTGGGCTTAACGCTCACCTGGAGACCAACCTAGATTTTAGTCACTGACACGATGATCATGCGGAAGGTTGTACTGGATTTTATGATATCATAAGCAACTGACGACATATATATATATAGATAGATAGATAGATAGATAGATAGATAGATAGATAGATAATATTAGTGGTAAATATACATACATATGCAAAATATATAAATACCGATACATGTATATTTTTAGAAAAAAAAAAAAAATTCCAAGAGGATAGAATCCAGGTAGAACTCAATGTCCAGGACAGAGTAAGGATATAATAAAAAGGCTTAAACACTAATATTCCATGGTCATAATTTATTCCATTGGAATCGTAAATATGATCCAATTCATCAGACCTACAAATTCAAAAAGAAAACAGAAAAAAACAACTCCGAAAATAAAAACAGTATTTAGAGAGAGTATAAGTATGAGGAGGAGGGAGATTAAACCTTAACAGAGAGAATTTTAGGAGAGGTGGGTGGAAGGGGTTTAAGTAAGAGAAAAATGAATGTTGTCGGATGTCTAATGCATAAAGATACATTTCGTGGTGACATACACACACCATAGACAATCTAATGTTAGAGTAAGAGGGAGGAAAAGACGAGGTGGGGGAGAGAGATGGGACGACGGAAAGTAAAATTAAACGGCGTGCCGCTTTGTAATTGAGAAAATTTGACAAATTTAATATCGACTACAGGTTACAAATCAAATATAAACATATAAAAATAAATACAACGATGATCTAATCCAGCAAGGACCTATATTTTTATGTTCAAAAACACATGCGAATACACACATACACAATAACATATACACGTATATACACATAGGCGTGTACCCACATACACACATATATATACCCAAGTACACACATATAAAAATATATTCACATATCTACACATATACATATTCATGTATATCCATATACACACACTTTTCACATACATATACATACATACACATGCACACATGCATATACCCATCTATACACATATACACACACACACACACATATATATATATACACATATACACATATATACACCCTTACATATACACACATACACACACATGTACACATACACATATATACATATATATATATAAACCAAAAATATAAAAATATACAAAAATACATACACACACATACATACATATATACACACATACATCCATCCGCATCAAGTCCTTCATATATATACATTTACTCACATATATACATATGGACATACGCATATATATATATATATATAATATATATATATATATATATATATATATATATATATATATATATATATATATATATATATATATATATATATATATATATATACCGGCTTGAGAAATTTTCATAGAAAATACGTGTCCTCGAGAGGAATCGAACTGGTATGCTACTCGGAACCGTGATAGGGCCTGACGTGCTACACCATTAAGCTACAGAGGAAGCGTCTAGTTAGCAAAGTTGATTTTACTGCTTTTAAACTACAATTCTCTATGATTTCCCTCGAACATTCATTTCTGCTAGAAAAGCATCCAAAGGTAAACATATGACAAAACATATTATGAAATGGACGACAATTATTTTAAATTATCTTCTGTTTATACGTTATTTTTATAGATACAGATATTGAAGGAAATGCTCTGTTTATAATACACAGCATTAACAACATTTACCGATTTAAACAGTAAAATCGACATTGCTAACCTGAAGCTCCTATGTAGCTAAACTGGTATAGCACGTCAGGCTATATGACGGTTCTGTATAGTATACAGGTTCGATTCTTTTCAGAAGATATATTTTCTATATACATTTCTGGGAATTCAAAGGCGGTAACTGTTGTTGATACTGTTTATTATAAACAGAGGAGTTACAAATATATATATATATATATATATATATATATATATATATATATATATATATATATATATGGGATAATATTTATGCAGATAAATTTTATTTTGAATTCCCTCTAGCAATCTAACTGCCGGCAATGATGTCTCATTATATATAGACACGTCACCCAATTCATAGGCAGCTCAATTCGACTTTGTATGGATTAAATGTGTCTCTCGCTCATAGTGAAATTTTCGCCCCTGAGACATAGACATGCCATTAGCATTTCGTGGAAATAGTTTCCGGTAAAAAAAACAAAAAAAAAACAAAACAAAATGTTTTACTCATTTGTATAAAACTAAACGTCCGCACAAACACATTGAGATGTGTTAGGAGTTTGCCTATTGCTGTTTATTCAGGGCTTGTGCCTCGAGGCGTGGACGTAATCGCAGATGCATTGCAATAAACACAAAATTTATTTTCAGTGGGCCGTCTACGAAGTCTTAAATACGGACTCATGTATACATATATAGTGGACTCTCCCATCGTGCACGACTTTAGAGGGTCAAGCAGCTAAGTTCCTAGAAATCAAAAGCCAGACACCTGCACATATGATGTGATTATAGTGATGAATAACACATTTTGAAGGGCCCAATACAGTGACCTGGTGCACTACTTGTCACAAGGTCCCCAAACAACATTCCGCAAGTTTTGAATTTAGAGTTGTCCTTCTCCTAGACTAGTTGCCATGCAAGACTATAGAAAACAGACTGTATTGCTATTTGCCCATAGCTGGAGGGAAAAGAAGAGGATTAATACCCTCCCCAAGGGTATTAACACGCAAGTGAATGTAATGGATTCGACTGGAATTCGAACTTGGCTCTCCAAGCCGCTACCGACTAATCCAAAAATCGTCCTATTTTCATTTTGTTTTTATTTTATATTTATTTTTAATATATATATATATATATATATATATATATATATATATGTATATAAACCTGAACATAGAAGTCAACACTCAGAGGCGGCGATTCCGTCTAGCATGAAACAGCCTGTCGCCTCTGTGTGTTGACTTCAATGTTCACTTTTATATTTATATTTACATACGCTCTATCTCTGATATTGAGCACGTTATCCCATAAATATAGCACTACTTAAAACTATATTTCTTAATATATATATATATATATATATATATATATATATATATATATATATATATATATATATATATGAAAAGTTTCTCATAGTTAGCCTGTAGAATAAGATAATATTTATAAATATAAAAGACAATAATTAAATGTAATAGCTGCCGACGCGTTTCGTCCAATGTGGATGTTTTCAAGGCAAAAAAGAAATCGATTTATTAACCAAAGTAACTAATAATAACAAAACAAAATGTCCTTAGCAAATGGAAGAATTTAGAGAACGCTATTTTCATACTGTTAACTGAAAATTACGTCAAGTACTGTCACGTGTGGAGATATTGTTATTATTGCTGTGTTGACGGATTCAACCATTTTCTTTTGATTTTTGATACACTTCTGTACATTTGCTTGTGATATTAGGAATTCTCTTAAGAAAGATGAAATAGAGAGAATAACAGGCAAATATTAATCTACGCCCAGGCCTTTTCCCTATTTCACCTTTCTTAGCTGAATTACTACTATCCCAAACAAATGTACTGACCAGTATCAAGAAATCAAAAGAAAATGGTTGAATCCGTCAACACAACAATAAAAACTATAACCACACGTGACAGTAGTTGACGTAATTTTAAATTTATATATATATATATATATATATATATATATATATATATATATATATATATATATATATATATACGCGTGTTTGTGTTTGTGTTTGTGTTTGTGTGTGTATGTATACCAACACATATATCAGAATAGAAATGACCAACATTTATAAAATATTTGAATCATAAAAACTCATAGACTCATTATTCAAGCATTAAAAAGTATTGCCTAGATTTTCTATAACCCGATGTCTCTTTTCATCTAAACTTGGTATTCCATCATATTAGGTTGATACAAATATTTCCACCATTTATTTGACAACATCTTTTATTCATATAAATTCATAACTATCCATTAATCAATTCTTAAAACAATTCGAAAATGGCGAAAAGATATAAAAGATTATGTAACTTTAGAATTCGCCTGACAAAACTCAACCAGGAACAAGGGCGTTCGATAAATCAATTTAATTATAATATTATTGTTATGACTATTCTTGTTATTTTTTTGGTTGTGGTTGGAATAGAAATTAATCAAATCATTTTTGTTAGTGGGTCATCGATCACCGTTCAAATCTAATTTATTAATATTTTCGAATTAATTGAAGGTTGATGTAACATAGAGATTTGTTTATTTCAAGCTCATGTGTCAATTTCGTGCTATTTCATTAAGTCTCTTTATAATTGTTATGGGAACCTCCCTTCATGGACAAAATAGACTCGTCTTATGACTATATTATGCGTCGCAAGAAGACTGTAGACAGAAGACGAGTTGACTACGGTTGACTACGTGTACGACTTCTGTCGAACTCTCTGCTTTGGCGGAGAGGAACCCGGACGAAGCTTTGCCGAAGGGCAAAGTTTCGTCCGGGGAGGTAGACAGGCCCCGAATCCGTCTAGGTGGGTTCAAAAGTGGGTATATTTTTTGGCCGAGCCTACGGGCTCGGAGAAACCCACATTAAACTCGGCCTTGTGCCACATTCAATCCTCGTGGGGGATCGTTAAATATTGAAGACGAGTTGACTTCGGTTGACTTCGTGTACGACTACTGTCGAACTCTTTTCTTTGGCAGAGAGGAACCCGGACAAAGCTTTGCCCAAGGGTAAAGTTTCGTCCGGGGAGGTATGTTAGACATTTTCATGACGGTCGTCCTCGAGTATAGAATCCAGAGGTTAGCAGTGAATATTTCGGAGACAGTAGGAAAGCGTAGTGCAGGTTCGCAGTGGATATCGCAGTAAAGTAGTAGAGCGTAGTTCTTCCGTCTGTCATGTTCGCCGGACAAGTTGCATCTGGTCCTTCCGGTGGGAAAACAAAGATGGCCGCCTTTATACACGACGGATACAGTGTTGTGCGGATTCTTATTGGTCAACCTTCTATTGGTCGGCTATAAAGGGAATTAAGTCATTTTGACTCGCTCACTAGTTATATACAATATATACCCAGAAAACTGTAACAAGGTAGACAGGCCCTGAACCCGTCTAGGCGGTTTCAAAGGGTATATTATTGGCCGAGTTTACGGGCAAGGATAACCCACATTAAACTCGGCCATGTGCCACATACATTCCTCGT